ATCCAGACTGAGATTTTATATTAGAATATAACTACATTTAGAAAAATTTAGCATTTTTGGAAGATGCAAACTAAAAACCTGTTATTTATATTATATTATCCAACAGATTTATATCCAAGCATATTAATTAAGTAAATAATTTTTATGCATTGGATTGAAATTAGTAACAAATATAATTTATATTTGTAAATGTATTATTTATAAAATTTTCTCTTTACAATTATAATATCAATTATTATCATCTTTTAAGTTAATAATAAAATTTTAAAATAATGTAACATATATACAACTTAAATATTTTCGATTTCCAGTCATTGAAATAATTCTTTTATTCAATTGCTTTCTCAAATTTCTTTTTAAAAATTTCACTCTGTAAATAAAAGAGCAAAATATAATAAAGTATTGGAAAAAAATATTTTTAATAAATTAATTTGATATAAAAATCTTTGTTATTTAAATTTCCAGAATTCGCAATTGCAATTTTTAAAAGTAGTTTTCTAATTATTAAAAATAAAATTGTCATTTCTTCGCTTATAATTCCTCTTATTCTAAAAGCTTAATTATAAGACGTCGCTTGAGTGATGATTCGTATTTTTTTTTTCCGTTGTTAAACTATGAATGTTATCTTCTTTGATACATTTTAAAAATTTGCTTAATCAACAGTATTTATACATATCAAAGTTAAACTCTTTAACATAAAAAGAATTAGTTATTATCAATAAGTAAAATAAATTATCAAGTTACTATTAAAAAACTAATATATTGATCAAATTCTTACAATAATAACGATAAATATCAGTTTATTTTAATCTATTGAGTAATAAGATATTATTATCATACAATTTCTTATAATAAGCATTCAGTAAATTTATCTAACAAAGTTTTAGAAAAAAAATTTTATTAAATTTTTAAAGATTTTTATAGATATTTTTATTATATAAGTACATTTATTAAAACTTTAATTTTTAATTATTTTTAAAATATATTTTAAATAATAAATCGCTCTTATTTTTTTCTTTAATTTTTCCTTAAAGGAAACTTTACTTCCGGTGGAAAAAATGATTAGGAACTGGTATGTGTAGACGTGAAAAACTAGATAAAAACAGTTATAAAAAGAGAATTTTTATTACGCTTATTTAGAAACCCTATATTAATAACCGATATTATAATAACTAACAATATAAATTCAATTTTTATTTACTTATCTAAATATCAAATTTTTACAAAGGGTAAAAATTTAATATTGTCTCTTCTATTCGTAAATAACATACTTAGAGTATTTTAATTTAAAACTTTCAATTAAATAATATTTTGAAATAGGTCTGTTTAATATTTATTAGAAAAAGTTTAAAAAAAAATAAGGAAATAGTTTTGAATTTCTATATTCTTAATCAGAACAGGATAAAAAAAATTAA